CCCCCCCCCGCCAAAAAATAAATAAGGAGAGAGAGAAGGGAAAGGGAAAGGGAAAGAAAATATAAAAGGAAAGAAAGAAGAGGAAGAAGGAAAGAGGGAAACGGGGGAAGGGCGAAAGGCTCTTACCTCCCCCCCCCCCCCCCCCGCCAAAAAAATAAATAAGAGAGAGAGAGAGAGAAGGGAAAGGGAATGAGAATAAAAAAGGAAAGGAAGAAGAATAAGAAGAAAAGAGGGGCTCTTGCCTCCTCCCCCCTCCCGCGCCAACAAATAAATAGGAGAGAGAGAGAGATAGAGAGAGAAGGGAAAGGGAAAGGGAAAGAAAATATAAAAGGAAAGAAAGAAGAAGAAGACGGAAAGAGGGAAACGGGGGAAGGGCGAAAGGCTCTTACCTCCCCCTCCCCCCTCCCGCCATAAAGGGAAAGAGAAGGGAGAGGGAAAGAAAATATAAAAGGAAAGAAAGAAGAGGAAAAAGAATAAGAAAAGAGGGAAACAGGGGCGAAGGGCTCTTGCCTCCTTTCTTTTCTTTCTTTTCCTTTCTTTCCTATTCTCCCTCTTTTTCGTTTTTCTCTTTCTTTCTTCTCTTTCCCTTTCCTTCTCTCTCTCTCTCTTATTTATTTTTTGGCGGGGGGCGGGGGGACGAGGCAAAAGCCCTTTGCCCCCGTTTCCCTCTTTTCTTCTTCTTCCTCTTCTTTCTTTCCTTTTATCTTCTCTTTCCCTTTCCCTTTTTTCCTTCTCTCTGTCTCCCCCAGCTAGGGCTGGTTTTGTTTACGAAGCGCCCGTCAGGAGAGTACACGATAGAGTACACGATAGAGTACACGATAAAATTGACGATATCGTGAACTTTATATCGTGAACTTTTCACGATAAAATTCACGATATCGTCAATTTCATCGTGAAAAGTTTACGATAAAGTTCACGATATCGTCAATTTCGTGAATTTCTTCGTGAAAAATATGCGATAAAATTGACGATATCGTGAATTTTATCGCATATTTTTCACGATTTAGTCTATTCGCAATGTCCCTTCAGGGCCACCATATCTTTGTTCTCTTTTTGCCTTCTTCTTACTCCTTGACCGTTCGCGCATATTTTTTTTTTATACATAACTGTTTAGCCATATATAGTTCATGTGCAAGCACGTATACCCAGGGAAGAGAAGGTTATGGAAAAGGGAAAACAAAAAAATACATAAGGAGAGTGCAGAGGATAATGGAGAAAGAAAGACAAAGAAATACATAAGAAATACATAACGGAAGGGCTTTTAGGCACCAAATTACGCATCTAGGGACCCGCCTTAGGCCCCTTGGTTGAGTCTAGAGGGCAGAGCCCCCGAAAGCTCAAGGACTTTAGGCATTTAATTACGGCCAGATGAGCAAACAGGGCCCGCCTTAGGGCCCTTGGTGGGTTCCAGGGGGTAGAGCCCCCGGGAGCTCATGGAAAAATACTGCCATTTTAGCAATACTTGTAAATCACTGGTATCAAATTAAAAATAACCCATGTTTAAATTGTATTGGGGGGGGTTACTGCCCCCCCCCCCATCAGTAAGCCAGGGAAAGAGGCGGAGGTGACGGAAGGGACTACCCCCATAAAGCTGTATGATAAGTCTTATATGTAAACCCCTCACAGGTTTTTGAAGTTTTGTTGTGTTATAAAATTACATTCTTTAGCAAAACTACAGCATAAAAACAAGCAATATACTTTTTTCACGCTTCACTTTTACTTTGCCGATATCTAGTGTGCAGTCCGAAGGGTTGTAAATATTTACTAGGTACATTTTAGTTTGACTGAGCAGGAAGGGACTTCTTAAAAGAGCAAGCTGAATATTCATTTTTGGAACACTGATCTATTTCTATAACTTTTAATCTTGTTAACATACTGTGTAATTTGTACATACGTGATACCAACAGAATACATATTTTCTTCAATATTTACTTGTATATTTTTAGGAAATTATGCGAAGGAGCGTAGCGACCGAGCGAGAAGATTTTAGCATTTCTAATAGTCTAAACGCTGTACTCTTGGGCCCACCAGAGCCTTAAAGCGTGTTGCAGTCTTTAGTCAGTATTTGCTATACATTTTGTTGGTGTGCAATTTTTCAAATTATCCATGGGGACGATCCCCCTCAGAAAATTGAAGGAAAACGTGTACCCCGTCAGTATTTTGTGTTTTGCTCAAAAAACTATCCACAAAAAAGGACTATGTATGCCCCTTTTGTGAAGCGACCTATCAATATTAATGTTCACATATCAGTCCCTTTTTGGATTGCCCTCCTCCCGCCCCCCCCCCAAGAAAAAATATTATCACATTGTTACATGTGTGCACAATATATATTGATGTGTCAACCTTACGAAAGTGGTGTTTTCATAATGATTATTGACCCCCTTTAAATTTATATTTATATGGAAGACTTAAGAAGACAACTGTTTACAGTCCAACTAAGGGTGTAGAGCATATCGTGTAGACTAAAATGTGCAATGTTGTTCAATTCCTGAATTCTTTGTTTAAAAAACTTGCTTGCTGTCAATAGTGTATACATTTTTTATACGTTTCAAATGTCTAGTCCGGTTAAAAATAGCACGTAATGATTTCATTATTTGACACGTACTTCACATTGATTTATCTTATCGATAAGCGAAACGATTTGCTTTAGTATCATATAATAAATATAACAGTAATGACAAGTATGGTTTTCCTGAAAATTGCATCATACAATGTATATTAATCGTTATGGAAAATGTTGTATAATATACAACAATGGTCATTAACATTTTCCAGACCATTTATTTAATTACGTTTAATATTGAAGCTGTTGCCCTTTGTATATACATGAACATGAAATAATAAGTAGCCTTGAAAGTGTCGCAATAAATCATGTGTGAGTGAGCTTGAAGTTTAATGGTGTAGGTTTGTTTGAAACTGTATAGCCTTTACTCTGTTTTTAATGAGATATATCTCCAATCAAATCAAATCAAACAGAGCGATGTTATCGTACAACTAAACAATATCAATCTTCTGTTCTAATAAATAGGCCTGGGAAACTTGAAAATTGCATTACAATGTGAATTCATTGTCAGTGAAAATGTAATACAATACACAACAATGGGCAAAAATTGTTTCCAGACCAATGATTTAAGTAAAAAGAACTTACATTTTATATTGAAACTGTTGCCGTTGTATATACATCAGGCGCGGATCCAGGATTTCTTAGGGGGGGGGGGGGGGGGGATTTGAAATTATGCGAGCCAAATATTGGTTCGTAATGGTGACCAGCAGTGACGTAATTGGGGGTGGGTGGGTGCAGGGAGGGGCGAGTTTCCCCCTCCCTCCTCCGCGAAACGCGGAACTTTGACATTTCAATAAATTATTAGAGAAAGAAGACGATTTGCAGGCGCGGATCTACGGGGGGGGGGGTTTAGGGGGTTTAAACCCCCCCCCCCCCCCCCCCTTGGGCGGCCCCCCCCAAAAAAAAAAAAAAAAAAAAAAGGGAAAAAAAAGAAAAAAAGAAAGAAAAAAGAACGCACGCTGAAGAGAAACCCTTTCAAGTGCAAATATTGTGAGAAAATCTTCAACTCATCTGGTAACTTAACCAAACACATGATAACTCTGGATATAACTGTGTATTAAACTGTTACTTGATTTAAAAAGACGTCATCATGCACTGCTTTTTATGGTCTCCATTGTGTTAATAGATGCCAGGAAAACATCACTTACGGGGTTCAAATAAACACCCCAAAAAAAATCGGCTCGCCGCTTCGCGGCTCGTGGACGATGCTCCGCGTCGTCATTATTTTTGTCAAACCCCCCCCCTTAGCAAAAAGCTAGATCCGCCCCTGATTTGTTGTACCGTTCCCAAAAAATAATCCTCGTCTGAATTGAGTTTTCCCCCTCCCGCGCTAAGCGGAAGCTTACGTTTCATTAAATCATTAGAGAAAGAAGACGATTTGTTGTGTCATTATCCTCTTTTTTCCTTTCTTGTATCTCCTCTTTTCCTTTTTTTCTTTCCCTTTCCTTCCTTCTCTTTTATTTTTTGATTGGGGAGGGGGTGCAACAGCCTGGGAGGCAAGTCCTTTTGCCCCCCCCCCCCGATCTACTTCTTCCCTCTTTTCTTTTCTTCTTCCTCTTCTTTTTTCCCTTTCTCTCCTCTTTCCCTTTCCCTTCTTTCCTTCTCTCTCTCTCTCCTTTTTTTTTTTTTTTTTTTTTGCGGGGGGGGGGGGGGGCCAAGGCCCGCTCGGCCCCCTGGATCCGCGCCTGCTTGAGGGTACGGTGTGTGTAGTACCGAAAAGGACTTTTGGTAATCTTTCTCGAGCTTATAATTCTAAAGATGTATAGCGCCGGTTGGAGAGGATGGGCAGTAGGAGGGGCTCGACGTTGCGAACAGGTTGACTATCCGTCGTCAGGAGTGGGGAATAGTAAACAAATATACCATGCACTGAGAGGCTCTTGTTGAAATTATAGATCGAGGTGGCAGGAATAGCACTATTTTCCGTGGGGCGTAGCCCCGAAGAAAATAGTGCTTTTTCTGTCGCCGAGGAATCCATAATTTCACTAGTGGCTTGAAATAGTGCACGACATATTTCGTCGCTGTTTTCACGAAGTGACGGTAGTGAAAAATAATTGCATTCACTTTGCGTTACGATTGTCCTCACTACCGTCACTTCGTGAAAACAAGGACGATTTGTTTTATATTTTTCAAACTAACCTCATATATTAAATATCAATACTAATGTTTACTGTCACTGAAGTTGTATATAGTGCAGGTGCTCTGCCTGGTGAGAGCAGCGCAGACGGACATATTACCGCGACCGCGCCCGATAGCACATAGATCTTGATCGATCGCATATGTATGACGTCATCCATGGTCTAGTGCACTATACCATGGATGACGTCACGGTTACATCATAGCAATGTTATGTTGGGGTCACGTGATGCTCTGTTAAACAATCACTGGACAGGATTTCATATTGATCAAAAATGTTCAAAAAATGGTATAATAAACTTACATTGCCACCTGATTCATTGCAGCTTCACCGATCAATCTTTCTGTATCTGTGAAGGCAACACAACTAGGTGTGATCCGGTTACCCTGATCGTTAGCTATGATCTCCACCTTCCCATTCTGAAAGACCCCAACACAAGAATAGGTGGTACCCAAATCAATTCCAATCGCTGGTGCTTTTCCTGGTGCCATGTTATTGTGCTTGTCGAAGTATTTGATGAAAAACCGTTTCAAAATGTAAAGTTCTCACTGATTAAACCGTCTGCAAATTACTGCGTATATGTTTATATCACCAGGAATTCTGGTCTCAATGAACAGCTGTAGAAATAGAACAATATCGTAGACGAATTTTGCAGTTGAAATTATAAGCCTAATTCGTTTCCTTCAGAGAGTCGTGTGAACTATATGAGAAGTCGATATTCTAATTTGAGTTTGTGAAACGTGGCACCAAACACCGCGTCTATAGAGCAGCTTCCAACTTCAGAGAAGCTTCGAGAGTGAACACAATAATACTAGATACATAATAAACAACTATAGGACTGCGAAGTGGGAAAAACCCAGCTTGTTCTCGAACGTCGGGCCGCGGCGACACGACAAGTATTGTGACGTCGTAGTAGACTGTGCTCTCTTCTCGGCAAATATGCGACGTGCATTGGTTCATTGGTTGATACTAAACACACGTCACAAGCAAACAGTAATTGATAACGGTCTGTAAGTTGTATATACGTTGTATTTACGTTGTCTGTACGTTGTATATTGACAGTATCGTGGGTAGACATTGACAAGAAAAGAAATCAATCTCTACCACTGTGAGTCTGTGACAGAATCCCAGAGTAAACATGTAATTTATTATCTAGGTAGTTATTCTAATGACTTTTCTCAATAAAATGTGTTCATTAATTTCTGCAAAATTATGTAGATAGATTATTAGAAAAAAATAAGAACAGGCATAGGTAAAGAATGGCTGACTAGAATTTCAAATGTGAATACATTATAATATGTGTATACCCCCTCCCCTCTCTTTCTCCCTCTCTCTCTCTCTCTCTCTATATATATATATATATCTCTCTCTCTCTGTTTCTGTCCCTATTTGTTTTCTTCTCTATCTCACCTAGAACACCTAACACTCTTTCACATTCCCTTATTCGCTCTCTTTCTCTCTATCCCTATCTGTGTCTCTCATCATGTTCTGTTTCTGTATATAATTGAACTCAGTTGAACACAAGTGACATGTCTCATCGAAAAGTTCCTCACCTCCTCTCTCTCTCTGTCTCTCTATCCATGTCTCGCTCCCTCTCTCTCTCTCTCTCTCTCTCTTGATATCAAATCTTCTTTATTATCTCTCTTGTCACGATCTCTTTTCCATCTTTCACTTTACCTCTCTTCTCTCCCTCTCCTCCTCCGTCTCCCTTCTCCCTCTTTCTCTCCCTCCGATTCTCTCCCTATATATATATCTCTCTCTCTATCTGAAGTCCGGGGGGGGGGGTACTTACATAAATATATTATGACATGCGGGGAGTTGTCGCTCTAATGGGTCGCTTTTTCACAACAAAATCCTAAACATGGGTCCCATTTTTTTACAAAAATATCTCTAAAAATGGGTCAATTTAAGTTCCAAAATTTCTAAAATTTTAGGGGGTTTGCATGGCCAACACCCGTCAAAAATTGTCAAAAATGGGCTTGTATTTCGCGAAAAAACCCTAAAATGGGTACCCTTTTCTGCCAAAATGACCCTTAAAAATGTAGGAAAAATTGAGCGGCTAACCCCCACCCGAACCAAATCTGAGTACCCCCCCCCCCCCTATAGCCTTTCTCTTCATCTCTTTGGTCCACTCCTTTTGACATCAATAATTATGTAGGAGCTCTGACTTTTTCTTTTCCCCTTTCAAAATACCATCTACGATAAAGTTCAGATAATACTGTACGATGTACAAATTTTTTTCCTTTGTTTATCAAATCAGTAATAAACTTTATTCACTATATCATATAATGTTTCATAAACATTTTCTATAAATACTAATTTTGATAACAAATAAAACTACTAATATGGTAATCTTTAAAATGAATGAATATATTTATGTATTTAGATATGCAATGTTCTGAAATAGGCATAATGCTGTGAACTTATATTTCCTTAACAAATGCTGCTAAATGGTACATGTACTAAGAAGATTGTCTCGTTGGGTAATCGTGTGTGTGTGTGTGTGTGTGTGTGTGTGTGTGTAATTGGGTTTGTACAGACGTGTATCAATCAGATATGATTATTTACGTCTGGGGACTGACTTTTAACGTCACCATCCAAAAGACATGACTCAGTTTCGAACCTGCGTCCTCGGCTGAATCAGTTTGTAACTTCCACTGTTAGCTGGATTACAGGCGAACGCCACAACGCCTAGTTATGGCGTGGAATCTCTCTTTTTTTTTAAACAACAAAGTTAATGCATGAGGCAACTCGTTCAGATTCAGTTGATACACAATACAACCCAGACGCAGATTATGTAAATCAAATAATCAATAATCTGTTTTTTATGACTAATTATTCTCATTGCCCTCTTTTGTAGTAACAATAATTTATCCTGTTGATTTTTGGAGGAGTTGCCCCATGCTAACATCCCATAATTCAAATATTGAAGGATAAGGGTACTATGCAATTTAAGCAGTATATTGGAAGGAAATGTCATTTTTAGTTAATTACTCCAACATTTTTTAGAGCAACCTAGATGAAAGGTGGATATACTCTGCCATGGGGTTGCTATACAAATACATTAAAGGAGAAAAAGTACTAAAATGACTAGTCATCTAGAACATTAATTGAATAAGATAAACAGTTATTTTTCTAAAGCATAATAACAAAAATATAATATGATATAAAATATATTTTTGGATCTGATTTGTCAAAGTTAAGGTTAAAATTACACTTGGCCCGACATGTGAAAGGAATTCCATGATGATGGCTGTAATTTAATCCATCTCATCAATAGTAGGCCCACCACTGCCTGATAACGATGAGTTGGCTTATTGTCCCGGGTGACCTGAGTTACTGCCTGCGTGTAACTTAGCCATGATGGGAGAGCATGTCTTCTGCAATTCTTTCAACTTGAACGACAATTCTTCCTTCTTTGCCAAAGAGTTGTTATCCATCCAAGTGATGACGTCATCAAATGCTTTTATTACGAATTCCTTGTCGCTGGAGCTGACCTGGCGCTCTACCGATGCGTCATTGATTGCGGACTTGACGTTGTAGGCAAAGCTCTCGAGTTGGTCCCTGGCCGCGATGCGTTCTCGCTGAGCATCATCTTCGGCCTTGAATCTCTCGGCATCGTTGATCATGCGCTCGATTTCGTCTTTAGATATCCTTCCTCTGTCGTTGGTGATGGTGATCTTGTTGCTACGACCCGTGCTCTCGTCCTTGGCAGTGACGTGCATGATGCCGTTGGCGTCGATGTCGAAAGTGACTTCGATCTGAGGGACGCCCCGAGGTGCAAGAGGAATACCGGAAAACTCAAACTGGCCAAGTCGATTGTTTTCTTTGGTCATAGCTCTTTCTCCTTCGAAAACTCTGATATCTAAGGCAGGCAGGTTGTCCGCAGGAGTAGTGAAGGTCTCGGCAGCCTTTGTAGGGATGTTTGTGTTCCTTTCAATGAGCTTTGACATCACACCTCCTGTTAATTCAATGCCAAGAGAGAGAGGGGTCACATCGACTAGAAGAACATCTTTGATTTCTTCGCTCTGGTCGCCAGAGAGGATGGCAGCTTGGACAGCAGCACCATAGGCAACAGCTTCATCAGGATTGATAGACTTGTTCAGATCCTTTCCGTTGAGGAATTCCTGGAGGAGCTTCTGGATCTTCGGGATTCGTGTTGATCCACCTACAATTACCACGGTGTCAATCTTGTTCTTGTCGATTTTAGCATCACTGATGGCCCTCTCCACTGGCTGCAGACTCTTTTTGAATAGATCTGAACACAGCTCCTCGAATCGTGCTCTGCTGACACTTGTTGAGAAGTCGATACCTTCGTAGAGTGAGTCAACTTGGATGTTTGCTGTAGTACTGCTTGACAGTGTTCTCTTTGCTCGCTCTGCTGCTGTTCGGAGGCGACGGAGCGATCTTGGGTTGGACCTCATGTCTTTCCTATGCTTTCGCTTGAACTCCTCAGCAAGATAATCGACTAGTCTATCATCGAAGTCTTCTCCTCCGAGATGAGTGTCACCGGCTGTCGACTTCACTTCGAAGATATCATCACCAATGACCAGGATCGAGACATCGAACGTACCACCACCGAGATCGAAGATGAGGACATGTTGCTCCCCCTTCAGCTTCTTATCGAGTCCGTAGGCGAGGGCGGCAGCGGTGGGCTCGTTGATGATTCTGAGGACGTTGAGGCCAGCGATCACACCTGCGTCCTTCGTCGCCTGTCGCTGTGCATCGTTGAAGTAAGCGGGAACAGTGATGACGGCATCAGTGATCTTCTTGCCAAGATAAGCCTCAGCTGTCTCCTTCATCTTGATCAAGACCATCGAGCTAATTTCTTCTGGAGCCAATGTCTTCTGTTCTCCTATGTACTCTGCCAGTAGCATTGGCTTGCCTCCTTTATTGATGACGGTGAAAGGCCAGTGCTTCATGTCTGATTGCACATTGTCATCTGTGAATGTCCTCCCAATAAGACGTTTGGCATCGAAGATTGTGTTCTTGGGATTCCTGTAACGATAATAAATAAGAATAGGTTATTGTCACATAATGTCCCTGTTGATACATAGCTTAAATGGATAGTTGAGTTCTGTTGCAGAGGGCGCTACACAAAATATTTTTTGTGAGATAATGAAAAACCGAGTGTCAAATTTGAAAGAACATAATATTTAAATGTCAAAATCATCTTTGTTTAATCAAAATCGGTTCAGAGACGGCTAAAATATAACGATTTCTAATACTTGTGTACCACCACAAATATTAGATATTTGAAAAATTTGAAAAAACCGTTGAAAAAAAAACGAAATAACGCCTTTTACGTCATATTTCAGCCAATGCCGATGTTGGCTTTTTTGTTGGAATTTTCGTCTTGCTTATATTACCCACAATTAGCCGGCTCATGTATTGTTATTTTTAATTAAATAATTAATTAACGGTCACCGTGTTTTTGAAAGTGGAGCTGAATTGGTATGATCGTATTGGCTAAATTTCACACATTTTGGGGTCTAAATTTACCTTCATAGCAATTTTAGGTTCTAAAAGGGCACTATGAATGTCATAGATTAGAATAAGAGCAATAACCATGCACTTTGGAGGCATTTGCGGTCTGAAAACAGAACTCAACTATCCCTTTAATTACACAAGCATAGGTCGTTGAAAGTACACTGTTGGTCATAATGGTGGAATAATTATTTTTACCCCAGTTTAGGGAAGGATTTAAAAAAATTATTTATTTCTAATAGATCTAGATAATGGCATACATTCTCAGATTTTATTGAA